CCGCCGGACGTGCTGGTTTTTCTAAAGAACTAAATTTTACTGAAATCGACTTCCCTTCGGTCGTTAGCATCGCTTGAATTTTTCCTCCAACTTCGTTTATCCTTCGAGATATCCTTGTCATAAATTTGGTTTTTATTCACTATGAGGATCCATCCTTAAAGTTCAATTTGTAAACAGAGGAGATTTTATGATACACTTTTAAAAGCCTAAAAGGCAACAATATATGCCTTTTACTTTCATTTAAAAGCTAATAGTTTTATGATTGCTTTGATAATGATAGAACAGGTTTATAGAGTATTTTATCAAGACATTAAGAAAAAATTGTTAATGAAGTTTATGATTGATTTATAGAATAGTTTTATGGTGGGATTGAGAACTACTTTAAATTTAATTTTAAAACAAGACAGTTTTTTACTTCTCGCTAGACTGTAAAAGGTTTTAAAACAGCGAAAAGGTGAACTACTAAGCAGGAACGTTTTACACTGTGAAATGCTGTGTTTAAACTAAATGGATTATTCATTGCCATAATTAAACCATCATAGCTCAGAGTGGATGCCAAATGATTGCAGAACTGTTACTTGGGGCTCTACACACTTAAAGAACCCAATTTTGGTACATTGGAACTTTTTTTTTTTAAATAAATGCGATTACAATAAATATTTTTTTCGGAAATAAAGAAAAATTAACCGTTAGGGGAACGCGATTACGAGCGTTTTGTCTGTCTGTCTATGTGTCAAGCAGTGTTGGCAAAATTAGAAATCAATTGATATTTTTCCGCTCTCATGCGCTCGCAATATCACGCGTGATATTGGAACAAAATATCATGCTTGATATTGATTTAACAAGCTCCTTTTATATTGCGAGACTATTCACAACGTGCAAAAATCAAGCTGAGAGTTGACTCGACACAAAAATGATTCCATTGCACATTGTTTTCTTAGAGATAGAAAGCATAGTTTGCTATCTCTTTTTAATCTTCACCGATGGCAGACGCGAAGGAACTGCTGCAAGCCGTTATGGAAGTTTCGGTTGCATTCGGGTGTAAAGCAAAAATCATTAAACTCAATCTCACCACAGTTTGGTGAGATTTGCAGTTGGTGAGTTTTGTTAGCTTGATATTCCGAGCTGCGATATCACAGCTTGCAAAATCAACCGGAGTTGTTTGCTTGTAGATTTTTGTCTACGACAATCAAGCGTGATCTTGGGCGTTGGTGAGATTTGATTTTTTGATATTTTCCCAATACTGGTGTCAAGACTGACAAATCGACATGAACGATCGTAGAAATTACCATGAAATTCCTGCTCAAAGCATGCTACTGATATCTGTCTCCCTGTTCGCTGGACACGTTAAGTTAAGCCACGAGCGCGCGTGCAAAATGTATGAGTGGTTTGTGTCTTATCTATTCTAGCCAAATGATAGGGTAGAGAATTACTTCGGCCTAATCGCCCATTTTGGGCCTATCGAGCAGAAAACTTTAAATAAATCCATGATTTCAGAGTTAACAAGTCAATTATGCGTTTGGTACGATACTTTAGTTAATAAGCTACCGAAGGAAGTCAACGCGTGAACGCGTGATATGAATGTTTGCTCCTATTATTCCCAAAAACAAAAGAAGCGCTCCGACCGAATCATGTTTTATCTTCATCCGATAGGCCGAAGTTAATTCGTTTCAATGCGTTAGGCCAAGTTTAGAATCCGTAGGCCGAGTTTGGCGTCAAGAAGCAGTGTTAGACTTTTGACAATATCTCAACAATTGGTTTCTCTTTATCAAATCTTCTGGTACATACGGAAAGGTAAATAAATTTGGAAGGCCTAAGTAATAATAACATTCCGTTTGGTGCTAAACTGCGCTAGATTAAGAAAGACTAAGTGCGGGTTGTGCTTAATAGGCCGGAAATGGGGTAGTTAACCCTACCTTATTCAACACCAAATATTTCGATGTTGTGGTTGAATAAATTCTCCAGATTTGTGTGAACAAAGCCTGAACAGAAGTTATTATTAAAAATAGTACAAGTATTATTAAGCATGAAGTGGAATAAAATCGTTAAGAAATCGTTTCTTCAATAGGCAATTGTTTGTTGGGATGTATCTGTAGACATTTCTTTCGTCGTCTTCTTATGGAGTCTTATGGAGAAACAAGCGATAAGTTCCTAGAGTTTTTTCGACTACTAATAGAAAGTTTTCCTGAGCTTCTTCTGAGCTTCCCCGAATATTTTATGGCTTCCTATGGATTTGTCATCCGATTTTTTTCCGAAAGCTTCTTCAAATTTTCGTCAAAAGTTTTTCAATATTTGTCTTGGAAGCTCCCGGATGTTTTTTCGACATTTCTTAGAACTTCTTCGAACTTCCTCCAGAAGAGCTTCTTTATTCTTTCTCTGGATTTTTTTTTTCGGCTTCCTTCAGAAACTAATTTAAACATTTCCTGGAAATTTCATCCGACTTCTCCTGCCAAGCAAAATTTTCGTTCTTAGTCCAAAAGTTTGAATTTTCGCCTTCAATAACGGCAAAAACATGAATTTAATTTAAAAAATAAAATACCGATAAATACCGACTTTTTAATACATTTGATACCGATAATCTTGAAAACAATCTGGCAACGCTGGGCGGGACTCTTATTATAACATTGACTCTGATTTAGTAAAGCGCGCACGTGCAAAATGTGTGCGTGGTTTGTGTCTTATCTATTCTGGACAAATTATATGTATCCAGTAGAAATACTCAGAGAGAGAGATAGGCGGAGAAAACAAAATACAATTCAGCAGCAGGGATTTGTTCCTAAATTATCTTGCAACCCTTGCTAGAAGCTAGTATTTCAAATGACTTTTATTTTTGATTCGATTTACGTGCAAAATAATAATTGATTGCATCGCAATATTTTGCACATTTCTTGTTGCCATTCATTAACCAACGAAGATCAATTAATCAATAGAGTTAGAATATTGTTTTTGGTTCCAAAAACTAGTTGAATTTGAGAAGCACACAAAACATAGAGGTGATTGAATTTCTGTTCGATTGCAATACTCTCAAATTTATTCTAGTAAGAATAAGAAATCCTCGGAAAAAATCTAATTGAACTGTTCGATTGGCTCGGATTTTGACAGTTCATTTGGCTCAAAACATTCTCTCCGCCCATCTCTCCCTCTGAGTATTTCTAGTATCCAGATAAAAAAATCCTATGGTTTTGACAGATCAGATCGCTGCACATTTGAATCGACCGTTATATGCAAAGTTGAGTGTAAGTTTCATGTCGGTTTATCGGTGTTATCCCTTTTGTCGAACATCTCTGTGATTTCTCTTGGTAGTGCAGAGGATTTTTCAGCTTCCAACAAGGCGAGCATCTATCACGTCACCATATTCCTACCCGTTCCTCAACTGACCTGCATTTGGACGTGGTTGGTGCTGGTGTTGCCAATTGTAAAGTTTGAGATCATCAGATTTTACACACTGAGAATGCATCATCCGTTGATTATCTGTGCAATTACATGTAATCTAGCAAAAACGGATTAGCAACCGCGGGTGGTCAATCATGCTCAAGCTCATGGAGTCGGCCCAGGGAAAATTCAGACTTTTCGTGCTTCAATTTTGGTTGTAAATAAAACTGATAGTATCGGTATTTGATATTGGGTGGATACTCACCGAAGCAGTTGCGTTTTGGAAGTGTTTTTCTATTACATTCAAAACGGTATTTCCAACCAAACTTCTAAAGAAAATTTTCACTGTGCCACTCCGATTGCATCATCAGATTGAACATGGAGCTCAGTTGTAGATGCATTCCTCAACCGACTCCAAGAACATGCGAATTATACCAGGGAAACGGTTGCCCTCTTCCGCTCTACCTGCAACGTCCCCATCGACGGAAGGCGCCATCTGTGCAGAGCCACAGGAAAACCGCACGGCGAATAAGAAATTATCTCTGAAATGCTATCGCTTGAGATGTTTATTTTTATTTGACTCGTTCCCTTCGCCTTTTTTATTTTTTTTTTTCATCCAACTGATTTCTTTGTCCATTGCCAACCGGCGGGGAGCCATAAAAGCCGAGACTCTGTGATCTGCTTTCTTGCTTGAATGCTTCGAACATGGCCCTAATTAGGTGCTTCGTTCTGTGCCCTCGACGGATCATCGGAGGTGGTGACCGGGCTGTAATCGGATGCCTCCCGATACTCCCGGGACTGACTTGACTGTGGCCAGGTAGTTTAGTTCAGCTTCATTGCATTGAATCTTGGATGCTTAGGACAGAGACGGAAAGAATTAAGCTTTGCCGATCAAGCGGGCGGTGGCACCCCCCGGAGATAGCCCCTGTCTTCTGCGATGCACTAGAACCAGACAATTACGGGTTAATTCTCCGCGCGTTGATTCGATTTGACGTGCCGGAGCTGTTGGTTATTCTGATAGGTTGCAACATTCTTTGCCACGGCGGGATTCATTCGAGTGCGGTAGTTTGAAACGATGTGGAATGATCCTATGTCTTTGCAGCATGCAGCTGAGCGAGCAGAGAAAGACTTTAACAATGTTCGTTTAGAAGGGAAACAGGACAGGAAAAGGGAAGCTCATTTAAGTTTTTTTTTTTACGAGATCTTATAATTATTGGGATTTACGGCCGGCAAAAAATGCAATATGCGAGTACAATGACAGCGGTTAATTACAAGTTTTAAAATTTTAAAGACACTCTTTATGATGTTCTAATTTGACGTTGATGTGCATTTTATCTTTCTCCATTGATGAACTGTTGCTGTTGCATTGGAGATCGTACCGATAGGTACCATTCCGTCATGTGTTTCATAATAAGATGTTATGGAGGGCTCAATTTCAGTCACTCGTTTTACTTCGTCGTTAATTTATTTTGAACGATCAACCGCTCAGACTCATTTCTGAAACTGTCGCAAACCTGTCTATACACCGAATCAAGAAAACAAAAAACGGAAGATCCATAAAAATCATTCAAGCTACTTTATTGATTCATTAATTCACGGAATATTTCTACTCTCTGCTCTCCTTCCAGTGGCGGTAACAACTTGGACAACCGCTTCGACGAGAGTGGCCAATCGGTACAGACGACGTTCACCTCCTTCAGCAACAACAACGGACACTTCCTTCAAACGACGCACTTCGTGGACAAGGATGGCAAGGTGACGACCCACAAGCACGAATCGGGCAAGGAAAGTAATTCCAACCCACAGTCGGACTCGCACTCGTCCTCTCCTTCGTCTTCTACTACTTCTTCACCCCCGAAGAAGAACTAAATCTTCTATCAAATCAACTCGAAACTGCACAATTAGCATAGTCATAATGTGGATGGAGATGGGAGCGAGAAATGTATCGAAAAAAAAAACTGTAATCTTGATAGACACATCCCGGCGTGCCTAGCTCCCAGCATGTGTTTCGCGCAGGTATCGAAGCCATCCCATTCAACATTAGAGACATCATTCTTTGAAGTCCCATCCACGCCGGAAACGTAAAACATCCCAGTAATTAATTTGTCCCAGACAAACAAATCCAACACCGCTGCCGACTTCGACATCATCCAAGAAGCAAAAAGCATCAGAAAAAAAGTCGTAATCCACTCAAAGCCTTCCTCCACACAAGATCTAAGAAGCGCTCAGATAACAAAAAAAAATAAACTGGAACGCACAGGAAACGGCAGTGTGAAATTATACGCGCAAATTACCGATATGCGAAGAAAGCAAAAATCGAAATTAATCTCTCTTTTTCGTGTCACACACATTTGACTGGCTGCTGCCGCGATCAAAGATGATGATGAGTAGCGAGCAAACCAGAAAGCCTAATGGAAAGAAGATACATCTAACAGTATAGAAATCAAGCGAAGCAAATTTTTCGGAAAGGAAGAAGACGAGCCACCAACGATCATCGACTAGATGGCGCGATGCGCGGAGAATGCGAACTTCCCGAAAACTAATTTATTGTGTGTGTACTGATTCGTAATTTAAAATGCCAATTTAAGTTAATGCCTAGAGTTTAGATGATAACACGATACAAAAAAAAACATAAACGAAAAGAATCGTGAATAAAGTAATACAAAGTTAAGCAATAAGAAGCGGACGGGACTCGTGCCGGGCGGTTGATTGAGAAGACTATTGTGAAAGAGAAATCCATAGGATGGTCGTTAAATGCGGCTCGGGGCTTGAGATAGTTGATGATCGCGATTTTTTTCAAGACTTATAATTAAATACGATCGGAATGCAAAATGAGATCGTTTTTGTTATCGTTGGTACGTGCTCGATAGATTTCGCGATAATCGAATCCACCACGCAGCGCATGAACATTAGTTTGATTGGCTCCAGCGTTGAATACCGACGACAGGATGTGACATAAAAATAATGTGCGCATAATCTTGTAGTGTTTTCAACTCCAGCCAAATTGAGTCTTACTTTTTTTTTATTCTAACGCACATGGCATTTATTATATCCCCACAGGATTGCAATGATCGGGGTTGGTTTGGGCCGAACGGAGTAGTTCTATGGTGACCAAATAAACACCACGACAATTTTAAAATTAAACGTAACATGTACCATGTTGCAATAATGCCCAAAGTTGATGGCTTTTAATAATTAGAGTAGTTTTGTTGATTAGATGGTCCATGAATTGCATATTCTTAAAGCAACATATTTAAAAAATCGGGAAAAATCTGGATCATATTTCACGTGATCTGTGTGTGTATCTGGCAAGACGACTGAAAATCTGGAAAATCCAGATAAATCTGGAATACTGGCGACGCTGCATACGACACTCCTCCGGTAATATCTCCTCCTCCCAAATCTTGTTAATTACCTTGTGCAGCGCTCTAGGCAGTGCTTCACAACCGTATTTTAATAGCTCACTTGATAGTTGATCTACACCAGTTGCTTTGTTGTTCTTTAGCTGACTGATGTCCTCCTCAACTTCTTGAAGATCAGGGGCCGGTAGCCTGTCGTTTTCTGTGCCTGCTTCAAGGTCGGTTGCCGTGCCACCAAGACGAACAGACGTAACTCTTTGAAACAGTTTTTCTTGAAAACATAGTATCTCTAAACATAGGACCATAGTAACGACATCTCTTGGGCTTCTTGCAGAAAACAAGCTTGCTCGTAAATTCGCAATCAATATTGCATACAAGTTCTATAGATTGTATAAAACGTCAAAGTGATCCGATGCCAGCGCTGCAACGAGTAGTTCGCGGAACTGATAATATTCAAATCAACCGTTAAATGCGTGAACTAAGATACACAATAAAGTGTTACGTCTATTTGTCTGAGGTGCCACCTTCGTTTTCTGCTGCATCGCCGTTGAAGTGCTCGTCATAGTACCAACAATCAATATGAAACTATCGATTTTAAATTGGCTCAATACTTGACTAGCCTATTAGTCCCAAGCAAACGATTAAAGTACTCCATTCTAGTCGAAATTCTAGTACTACGCAATGTTTGTTTTGATTCGCTATGAAAGTTTGACAGATAAAATGAGGGGTTACTGGTTTTTCCTATGTTTCGAGGGGTGAATCGATTAGCTTGGGACCGAAGAGAGTACCAGAGCTGAGCCAAAAAGTTGAGCACGTTTCTTCGGGACCTACTTGTCTTAGAGTTACCTCTATGATTGAAGTGCATCCTCTTGGATGTAATTTAAAAATTTATTATTTGTTGTGTAGAGTACGGCAGTATGAAAATTGAATAGAAGTTGAAAATTAGCGAAGGGCCATTAATGCGACAGTACTAGTCAAACGCATACTTATTTACCTAACTCGTACAATGTACGAGGAGATTTTAAGTATTTCTTTGACTAGTACTATCGCGTTAATGGCATTTTCATACTGCCGTACTCTAGTGGAACTATACACCTACCCTCTTCAGACCTTTCTCTAGCTAATAAATTATCACACTAAAGCTACATGTTAGACAGCATTTCCAACCAACTCTGAAAATCGTAAATTTCACGGATGAAGTAACATAAAAACGTTTTGAATGTAACAACTCAAGGCGGGAGTAACCGTCAACATTGCTGATGATGGTACAGCACGCAACAACCACCTACCAACCGGTAGAAACTAACGATTTTAAATTGGCTCACTACTGATTTATATTGGTCCCAAGCAAATCTATTAACGTACCCCATTCTAGTCGAAATTCTAGTACTACACTATGTTTGTTTTGATTCGCTATGTAAGTGTGACAGATAAAATTAGGGGTTTGTATTTTCCTATGTTTCGAGGGGTGCATCGATTAGCTTGGGACCGAAGAAAGTACCAGAGCTGAGCCAAAAAGTTTAGCACGTTTCTTCGTGACCTTCTGGTCTTAGAGCTACCTCTATGACCCTACTGCTTTCTCTCTGAGATGACTAAGTTGGTCATGAAGAGTTGCTCCTCTCTTAATAGTTGGGTAAAGAAGAATTGCATTATAACACACCATCGACTGGAAATGCTTTCGGCAACGTGGGGCTTTACCTCTATGATAGTACTGCTTCCATCTCTCAATCAACTCACAGTCGTTCGTGAGAAGGTTACCGTCCTTACACATATCGACTTACGACACGTAGCCTTTGCCGAACTATTTACACACTTAGTTTTTTTTTTTTACCTGATCTCGACTGTGCAAATCTCGACAAAAAATGTTTTACTGAGATCTCAGCAAACATTTCATTTGTTTGCTGAGTTTCATCCGAGACTCAGCAATCAAATGTCACTTTTGCTGAGATCTCAGTGAAACTTATTTTTGCCGAGAATTGCACAGCCGAGCTCGGTAGAAAAAAAAACTAAGTGTGTAAATAGTTCAGGCAAAGGCTACGTGTCGTAAGTCGATATGTGTAAGGACGGTAACCTTCGCACGAACGAGAACTTCCGTGTGTCGTTTACGCGGTTCAGATTTTCCATCGCCTCGCGATCTCGGACTTCCTGCTGATGCTTCTTCCTTCGAAAAACCGAATTTTGTCTGTATCGCTCCACATTCAATCTCGTGCGGTGTTGCAGCATTCACGCCCGTGCTGCATTCTTCTCCTCTACTAACAGTTTGTATTCGCCGTCAAACCAGTCATTGCTTCGGTCCTGGATCGCAGTACCAAGTGCCACTGCAGCAGTACTACTCAACGGATGTCCTTCCAGTCATCTTCAAGAGTAGCTGCGCCAAACTGCTCTTCCTTGAGTAGTGCAGCTTCCAGCTGTTGCGCGTAATCCTGGAAAACTCCGGCGTCCCGTAATTGCTCAATGTTGGGTCGCGGCGTACGGCTTCGACGGGTGTTATACACCGTCGAGAGTTTTGAGCGCATGTATACTGCAACCACCGACAAACCGACACGACACTTAAATCTGACTTATGCCCGAAATCGTAAAAGGCCGATTTGAATGTCCTGTTACCGTTTGTCAGTCAAAAAGTAGTTCAATTGTAAAACTTTTATTGTTTCTAAGTGTTTATTGTTTATTTATTTACATATTGAATATTATATGCAGCTATATTAAATAATTCATAAATAAAAGCCTAGCTAGGATTAAATTAATTGCATGCACACTCAAGAAACAAATTCAAATTGATAACCTAAGAACACAATTTGTTACACTACACTACACGAAAACCGATACCCTTGGGAAAAGCTGATGCAGAGCTAAATGCATTTCCACAGAAGAGGCAAAGGACTACGATGAAAAATGATATATCTGAAAGGGAGAGGCTACTGGTGGTCCTATTAGTGATGGAATGTTCTTTTCCAAGTAACACCTCAAGTGAGAAACATCTCGAAACTAGACCAGTTGTGCACAGTGAAGTGGAAAAGTGACTATAATCTCAATTTATATTGTTAAATTGGAGAAAGTCGAACCAGGTAGGCCTAATCACCCATAAAACGATTATGGACCCCGGAACCAAAACCAGTAGTGCTCTATGGTAACACCTGCCCCCTTTCATATATCCCTCACCCAACCAGGACCTATTGTATTCCGGTTGAAGTCGTTCTGTTACCGGTTAGCTAAGGCAGCTGACCTGGAATAAAAGTCCCGTGCGAGGTGCGTAGCCAAACCCAAACCTCGACCAGCCAGAGGTCCATTGTGATCGCAGGTTCACGAATAGACCCACAGCCCACGTGGCCTCCGTCCGCAGAGGTTAGGCCAGGGGTACCGAAGCCGTCGTATCCAGCCAGCAGATCAACGAACGCAGCCGATCAGGTGCTTTTCGGTCCGCATGACCAACAACCGATCGCGAACCTACGACGTTCCACCACGCTCTTCTGCAGCAGCAGCCGGTCGGCCCATCATACCCACAAACACACATACCATTGCTGTAAGTCAGAATAAAAATGTTTTTAACTTTAGTTTGCGTTGTGTAGTTTTTTTATCTGGTGACTGGACTCTTGTTAAGCAGATTCCCTTGATAAAAGCCGACCCTGAGCGCAAAAGTGCCTCAAGATCGAGCTTGCCGGGAGCAATCAAAAGAGGCCTTGATAGCCCACCTTCAATGGTCCCCGTGGCTAGACCAGGGATCGAAGGCGTTGTAGGAGGGTCCGTCTGATCCCCCATTAACAGTCCAGTGATCCGATCTGTCAAAACCATAGGATTTTTTTATTTAGAAAAAAATAATTTGTACAGAATAGATCAGGCACGAACCAATTCATAACTGTTGCATGCGGATTCATGGCTTAGCTAAATATTTCCCGCGAACACGGAGCCAGATGTCAGTAGTGTGCTCTGGTCAGAAATTTTATTGTTTTAGCTATGGTCATTCATGTCGGTTTGTCGGTGCTGCAACTACACACTTAGTTTTTTCAACCGAGCTCGGTTGTGCAAATCTCAGCAAAAATAAGTTTCACTGAGATCTCAACAAAAGTGACATTTGATTGGTGAGTCTCGGATAATGCTTAGCTGAATCTCAGCAAACAAGAGAAATGTTTGCTGAGATCTCTGCGCACAATTTGGTTTTCTGGTGTTGGTATGGTGATCTCCAGGTGGCTTTGATGATATCCTTATACCCCGTACAGACTAAGGCTTATATCATGTAATATAGACTGTCTTGCAATGAGCACTCACATATAGAATTTCCAGTGAAAACTAGATGTATGAGTGCTCATTGCAAGACAGCCTATATT